TGCAACGCGCCGCGCCGCTCCGTGGCTGAAAAGAGAAAGAAAAAGAAAAAATGTCTCGGCCACACCCCAGGCGTTGTAGTTTGTCCGTGCAGGGGGCACCTTGTGGTTTACGATGTCAATAGTGGCTTTGGTTGTCTATCCTGCCTGATGCTAAGGGCATCTCGTGGTTTACGATGTGAGTGACGGCTTTGTTGTCTTTTCGTCTCGTGGTTTACGGCGTGAGCGGCGGCTTTTATTGCCTTTCCGACTTCTAGGGGCCTTGGTTGTCTTCTCGGAATTTCTTTGAACTCTCGATTTTTCACTTGGATTGCTAGTCTTTGATTTTGGTGACGACCTTGTGTGGGTGTAGTTCTACTCCTCTAGATTTGATCACTTGCCCTTCCCTGAGGCTTTCGTACCACGGTCTGGTACTGGGTAGAATTCTTGTCGGTTTTTTATAGTGGTCCTTTCTAGATGTTTCTTGCTTAGTCTATTACCGCTGGGCTTTACTCTCGGTGTTCTCGGTTAGTGCTACTCTCGGACGGCTCTGCTGACGGGCCTTCTCTTCGAACTCTTGACTTTTGGTTGCTGTCGCTTACCTGTCCTATTGCTGTCCGGTCCTAGAGTGTCTAGCTTAAATAGAATGAAGTATACGTCAAAAGGCACTCGACTGCGTGATTGACCCCTGACTATTCCGGAACCGGCTTCGGATGAAACGCGTAGGGTCGCTGCCGGAAGGCTTGGCTATGGTTGTCACGACATGGGCACGATGCCTATTTGAGTTGCTAAGCCCGGCAAGCTGGTGTTTCATTGTTATTTTTAAAATGCTTGCCATATCGCGTTCGGGAGATTCTGACGTGTTCTTCCTCTTTCCCCTTTACCTTTCTATCCTTTTTTCTTCTTCTACCCTCTTTCTTCTTGACCTCTTTTTTGTCAGTTTCCCTGTCGTCCCCACGTGTTGTTTTGGTCGGTCATGCTCGTATGGTGAATTGATTAGACCTGTTCGGGTCAACTTTGGTTGTGCTTTGATGACATCGGTGATGCTGTGTGTTGTCCACTCACCATCACCACACCCCAGACTGGCCACGTCCGAGATGTCTCGGCCACACCCCAGACTGGCCACGGCCGAGATGTCTCGGCCACACCCCAGACTGGCCACGTCCGAGATGTCTCGGCCACACCCCAGACTGGCCACGGCCGAG